ACTTTCCCTCAATCATAGTGAAACCCTGGCCTGGCACCCTTTTTTCTGCCATGGCATTTTCTTCCCCTCTTTGGCAGCCTAAGAGGCAGATTGCCCTGTGCCCGGAAGCCCAGAGTAGCTACAAGGGCAGAGCAGCTCTTCTGCTCTCCATCACCCTTTCCAGAAGTGGCAGACTTGGGCAAGCAGCAGCCAGCAGGTCAGAGAGGCCCTTCTGGGTCATGTCCAGCTGATGAGGAACCTCTTCCAGCCCTTAACCATCTAGTCAGCCACCTCCCTAAATGGTGACACTCAGCTCAGTTGATAGACTGCTCCCTCCATGATTTAATGGTGTGGCCCTTCCTGGTTTGACACAAGGCTGAATGAGTGGCGTAACAGGCGTGGCCCCTGCCATCAGCCTTCCCTCCCCAAATAGGGACCCCAACATTTGTTGCCTCCAGAGAGGAGAGAGAGAGGAAAAGGGAGACACGCTGTCTAGACTTCCTGCTTGTGACTCCTCTCGCTTTGTGAGTCCTTTTCAAAGTTAGTTTTGAAATGTTTGTGCAACTCCCTTAGCTTGGGCAGGCTTTGTGAGAGGTGCGCATCAGCCTCCCTGTCCTGGAGAGTCCGCGATGAGCTGGGAAAACGGAGGAGGAGGTTTGTCCTGTGCTGCCTCCAAACAGCTCAGCCTGAGCTGCAAACACAGCTGCCTGTCACTCCACCATTGTATTTGATGCAATTAAATTGCATGTGTGTTATGGAAACATTCCTATATCGCTCTTAGCTTATTCAGACATTGTTAATCAGATTTACTGATAGCATTTAAAAGGTTTCCAGCAGCTGGTTATTCACACGAATAATTCTAAAATGCAACACAAAATTTTGACCCCTTGTCGTGAGGGTGGGGGGAGCATCCGACACACCTCCGAACAAGCTGCAGCCTTTTCCCCCCAAGATTTCTCAGGCTGGAAATAAAAGCAACTCTGAAAGCAGCAGTGTTAATGGCTTCCCTCTTTAATTTTTTAAATTCCAGGAATCTGACACCACTTGGAGCCTGAGGATTAATATTGGATAAATTGTACAGAAAAGTAAATAACTTGGAATCAGGTGGGGCCGAGGGCCCATGCATCACAGGGTGTTGCTGGCACACTGGTACTCCAGGCCATGCAGAGGGGTCCATTAAGGCTGCACCAACCTGTTCAGTCTGGCAAGGCTGGCACACTCAATTAAAGAATGCCACCTATCAGAACCCTGGAAGCCTCTGCCCTCTGGAACGAGGTTCCCCCTTGAAGATTTGAACGCCCCTCCCCCCGTGGGTATTTTGATAAAGACGGGGCTCTTTGGCCAGGCCTTCGGAGAAGATGACAAATGTCCCTTTCTTCCTTTCCATTCCCCTCTGGGTTTATTTTTTCCCCATTGTTGTTCCTTTGTCTTATGTGTTTGTGTATGTGTATAAAAAAAAAACAGAGTAACAAAATAACAGAGTTGGAAGGGACCCTGGAGGTCTTCTAGTCAATCCCCCTACTCAAGCAGGAAACCCTATGCCATTTCAGACAAGTGGTTGTCCAATCTCTTCTTAAAAACATCCGAATATATTCCAGTCTGTCTCAATATATACTTTGCAACATTTAACCTTCCAGGCTGTCTGTCCCGAATGTTTGCCGGTCTAACCCCTGAGCCTCCCAGCTGGCAGGAGGTGGGCAATGGGTGGGTCTCTCAATCAGGGCTGCCACTTTGCACAAAAGAGCCTGAGAAAGCCTTGGGAAACGATGGACTTGGCATCCTGGCAGCCCATTGGGCTAGGCGTGACCCTGCAGTTCTTGCCATTCACAGGGACGCTACACGCCACATGGCATAGTGTGGTCTGCACTGTGATCGTATCTCTAAACAATTTATCTAAAAGCTTCAATGGCCAAGGCCAAAAATGGGTGGTGGCCAGCATCTGTGGGTCCAGCTGGTGGCAATTATGGTGTGTGAATGTGAAGGGAGACAGTTGTAAAGCGTGTGAATTGACCAATGGAAGGAAAGGAGAAACATGGCCTCTGAGTCTAAGAGAAAGGAAAGGATGCAACAGAGCCGAGGGTGGTTTCATCTTGTGCACCAAAGTGATGAATGATGCAGTGAAGGATTCAAATTCAAAGGCCGGCAGACCTGAGCCAGGCAAGGGAGGCCAATGGGAGGGACATTTTAATTGCTGTCTTGTTCCCTTGCCTAATGCAGAGACGGAGGGACCTGTTCTCAAATGGCCTGCAAAGGATGGGCCATGTTTCCTCCTGAGCTCCTGTATCAGCTACAAGCACAAGCTGTTCGTGCTCCTGGAACAGCTGAAAGAACCAGAGACAAAACTTTCCAACAATGTCGAGAAGAGCCTGGAGCTTCAGGTCTCTTCCTTGACGATGCTCCCGGCCTGAATGTTTCTGTTCTTCTCAGGAACCGGGAGGCGAAAAGGCCTGTGCCTTAAAAAGAGGCTTGCCTGAGTGCCTAACAACAATGGGAGATGGGCTCTGCAGCTAATCCTACTCCTCACAGGCAGGAAACTTCCTGTGACTTCCTGTTTATTTGGGGAATACCGACCCCATGAAATACCTGCAGTAGTCTCCATGGTTGCTATTCCTCCGGGATAAGGTGCACAACCTTTCTGAGGGAAGATCTCAAGAAACCAGAAGTGGGCAGCCCTGAAACAAGGCTGCTGGACGGGGGAGGCCCAGCTCTCAGGTGTCACAGGCAGCATTCTCAGCTGGACATCTGGCCAAGAGGTTGCTCAGTGAGGTGGGTATGCTGGGCTCAAAGGTTCAAGCGCTGGATATCAGCTGGCAATGCCGCCTCTTAGACTCTCTCCTGCCTCAGAAAGCGGCTCTTCCAGTCCCTTCAAGGGAGAGCCTCCCCCTACGCCAAACTCTCCCCTGTGGCACCCCTGCCTTTTCCTGCAGGGATCAGCATTTCTCCAGAAGAGCCGAAGGCTTCAAGCCCCCTCCCCAAATCCAATTACCTACACTGGATTGGCGCTGGCACAAATATTTTTCTAGTACTTGGAAGAAAAAAAAAAGGAATCCAGAAAAGCTCCTCCTTATGGTTTCCTTTGAAAAAAAGCCCCATCAGACTTACACACTCCCCAGCCTGGTTTTTGGAGAAGGAAGAAGGCGCAGGATAGAAAGTCTATGACTAAGGAAGGCAGTTTAGCAGAAAAGAGATGCTAAGAAGAATCAAGCTGTGATTGAACTCCCCAAATTAACCTAAAAGGTTTTATGGGCTGGGAAGCTCCCCAAGAGCCTCCATCCCCTCTGAAAAAGCAGCCCCACCTCTCCTCTAAACCTGTTCAACCTGAGGCGCAGGCAGGCCCGGGAAGGGAGGCGCAGCAGTTGGCAGAAAAGGAAGTGAAGCTCAGCTGAAGCCACAGGCAAAGGTGGGGTTTCCTCTGGGGCCTCCTTGGTGACATCCGCAGCTGAAACGGATCAAAGGTGCTGCGACGTGGGGAGAGGCCAGGCTCACGCTCTGCAGGGCTGGCCATCGACGGCAGTGCCGGCCCTTTGCCAGACACTGCGCGGCTGATCCCGGTTGTGCTCTTCGATCCAGCCAGCCGAGTCTCCTGACTTCGGTTCACAGCAAACCCTGGTTTCCAAGCTCTGCTTCTGCGCTGCTGGAAAGGCATTATGGGGACCACCTGAGCCGGTGCAGTGGTTACAGTGCAGCATTGCGGGCTGACTGCTCACTGCCAGGAGTTTGATCCTGGCTGACTCAAGGTTGACTCAGCCTTCCATCCTTCCGAGGTTGGTAAAATGAGGGCCCAGATTGTGGGGAGCAATAGTAAACATTTGTAAACCACTCAGCAGGCTGTAAAGCCCTATGGAGCGGTATATAAGTTTCAGTGCTTCAGTGGTATTGCTGTTGCTATTGCTATCCGTGGCTCCTGTAAAACCTTTGTGACTCCCTCAGAGAAGGGCCTTCATGATCCTTGGCCCAGCAGGAGGACTATGCCAGGGCCTTGCAATACCATTGTGGGCAGCTGCCGAGGGCAAAAGAGGCTGGAAAAGATGGTGGCGCTCCAGCTGACCCTCAGCACAGGAGCCTCTGGGGAACAAAAGAGCTGTGATGGGCAGCCCAGTCTGTGTCCAGGGCAGAAATGAATAAGTAGGTGCCAAGATCAGGCCACCCCTCTGTAACAAAATCTTTATCTTGCCACGTCCCATAATGTTGCCTTCCTCCTCCTCCTCCTCCTCCAGCCGGGTCTAGTGCTATTTGCCCTGAGGGCCCCCACTGTGGAAGACCCCTCCCCGCCAGCTGATTGGCAGGGTGGGCAGCGAGGCAGGGAGGTTGGGCAGGGACTGACAGGAGCCTCCCACCAGCCAGGACTTCCAGAAGTGGGAGGGCAGGAGACACCAGGAGGGCAGAAGCTGGGGGGGAATCGGGTTGGTAGCTGCTGCCAGTTCAGAGATGGGCAAGAGCACCGAAGCTCATCCTTGCCCCATTGCCTATAAGGAGAGCATCAGCCAGGGAAGCCCAACTACGGCCCCAGGTTGACCCCAAAAGCTGAAGGGGCCTTGGGCTTCTCCAGATGCCACCCTCAAGGAGCAGGAAGGATGGAAGGGAGAATCACAGAAACCGCATCATCTGATCTGATCAAAGTGGGGGGGGGCTCAGCCAGGGTCCTCTGCGTGGAAGGCCCAGGCCCTTGCGGTCGGCTGCCCGGAGCCCCGCGGTCCCCGCTCTCCTTCCCCTGAGAACCCGGTAGAAGCGCCCGCAGCCACCACCGGCCAGCCGCCCTCCAGCCGCCCTGCCTGGGCTTCTCCGGCCGGCCGGGGGCGCGGCGGGGCCCTGGGAGGGCTCCCGGGCTGGAGGGTCCCCCGCCTCCGGCCCCCTGGGACGGCGCGAGGCCCAAGCGGCCCCGGAGCCCCTCCAGGGCCGGGCAAAGGAGGCCGGGCAGGGGCGGGAGCGCCCGGACAGCCGCGCCCTCCCGACAGGGGTGGCTGCGCGCCTCCTCCGCCGGCCTCGCTGGGCAATTCCCGGGACGGCAGAAGCGGCGAAAGGGGCGCGGGCGCGGCGGGCGGAGGCAGCAGCAGAGGAGGGCCGCCGCCGCCGCCGTTTCCCGGACTAAGAGAGCCGCCGCCCGCCCGCCCCATCGAGGAGAGCGAGGCGCCCCGGGAGAGAAGCGCGCGGCGCCGACGACAGGTGAGGGCGGCGGCGGCGGCTCTTCTCCTGCTGCCCGGTCGGCGCCCCAGCCGCGCTCGTCCTCCGGCTCTGCGCTGCGAGCGCGGCCCGAGTCCGACGGGCGAGAGCGGGAGGAAGGGCCTCAGTCGGACGGCAGGCGGAGCTCCCGGGCAGGTGTCCGCTGAGGCGGCGCTCGGTCGGGCTCCGCTCCCGCTGCGGGGCTCTCAGTGGCGGGCAAGTTGGGTCTTTTCCTGACGTTCAACCGGCCTTTCTGGAACTTCAGTCCAGGAGTGTTTTGCGGCCGGAGTGAGGCCGAGCAGCCGCCACCTGCCCTTGGCTGGCAGCCTCTCCGGTGTCGGCGCCCGTTTCCCAGCAGCTTCAGCCCCGCTTGCTAGGATGGGTCTCCCCGGGGCAGCTTCTCGGGGCGCCGCTTTGAAGCGGAGAGGCGAAGGCCGAAAGGCCCTCGAAATGGCCTCCCCCCCCGCGAAGCCCGGTCCGTGGGTTGATTGTTTCCCAGTCTCGAGGAGTTCTCCTGGCGTCGTCTCTCGGCCCGCTCAGTTGCAGCTCTCCGGGTGCTGTTTGGGGCGACCCCAGCCCAGCCCCTCCCTGCACTTGACAAAATGAGCCGCAGTTCCCCAAAGCCTTTGAATAACATGGATTAATCTGAGAAGGTGCTGCTGCCCGGAGCCTTTTGGGTTTTGCTCCAGCCAAATTATCCTCTTTCCAAAACCTGACAGGGAGATGACCTGAGATTCACGTGACAAGTCTTGTTTTTGAGAAATCCCTGCTGATGTCTCCTAATTGCTGCCATTTGAAGGTTCTTGCAGAGAGTTTACAACAGAACTATAATTCTCTGCACCTTCCCTGTCCCTGTTTTGTTACAGTACCGTGCAGGCCTTTAAAGAACACCCACCCGATTCCTGATTTGACTCCTTTCTCCTTTTTTTATTTATCTCTGAGCAATATTCTTTCTCCAAATGTATTAAAATGTTTTTTTTTCCAAGTCTAAGGAACACGCTTGGGGAGACTTCGCTTTAGCTTCTCCTGCAATCAGAATGTCCCCTGTCTGCTACTTGCACTTCTTCCACTATATCTTGCAAGTTGGTTCTAAAGAGTTCTAAAGAGGGAGAAGTCAGAAGTTTCCTGGAGAGATTGCAGGTAGCAGAGTTAGTCTCCCAACAGGGGTTGGGGCAATCAAAGTCCTATATCAGGACTATTTCATATCTCTTTGAAGGATCAGCTATTTCCTTTGGGAAGGTTTCATCCCAGGAGAAAATGTGGGCTGAAGGGCAATAGAAGACCCTCACAGCAGAAGTGCTTTGGTTACCTAATTGTTCCTCTTACTTTAATCAAGGACTCTCAATAGCATGACAAAGTGCAGACTTAGCATATAGTCCCCCTCTCAACTGCATCTTTTCTTTTGGAATAAATCTGTTATATTCGACTTAGGGAGTCGTTAAATCAAGCCCCAATATTATGGATACCATACCTACATACAAAAATTGGAACCATCACTACATGGCAGCATCTAGTGGTGGCTCTGGTTTTTTCATGCTGATAGGGTAACCATAATATGGTATTGGGGCTGGATGGGATGATTCAAGGTTTTTGGCAGGATAGCCTGGTATAATTATTCTGTCATTTGCTTCTATCACATATCAATTTGAAATTCTTACTCTAACTTCTTGTCTCACAATCTCACAGGATGCAAGTTCGAGCTTAAATTCACTTTGCTTTATCCTCCACTTTCTTCCCAGATCTTGTCCTGGTGATGCCACCAATCTTTCACCCCTAAAGTGTCCTCTAACCCAAACTCCGATGTTACTTCCATAGCTGGTCCTTCTCGGTTGCCTGGGAGAACATCACCTGGGTCATAAATCCCTGAGTTTCTTCCTAGAAGAAACTCAAAGCCTGAGATAACAGTTATTGCTGTTTCTCAGCAGTAGCACACAATAGTTCCATTTTAGCCTGCGTTGATCATGGCCCATCTTGAATCAATTACTGTGTCCAGTTCTACTTGTACAAATTAAAACAAGTTCAGAGGAAGAAATGACAGGATAGAAGCTAATTTAACCTTAAAAATGCAAGGCTGGATGTGTTCAAGCAGCCATTAGTCTGGCGAACCTCAACTGCACTCAGCAGGGCATTGAACTGGTGGTTTAATGCCATCATTATATGTGCCCACATATTTTCTCATAGATAAGGGTGCCATCTCTCCTGCTCCCAGCACATTTCATCTTTCTGATTGTGTCAACCCTATGAGTTTTCTGGAGCCTTTTCCTCTATCTCATTTTCTTTCTTGTGAATTTTGTTTGAGCTGACCTCTGCTATAGTACCACCTGAGCTCTATCCAGTAAATTTTTACCTTTGGAAGCATTCAAGCATCAACAATCACAGTTGCCATTGTTTTACCTTTGTTCAAGCACCACTATACACATGCACACACAATGCTATTTAATGCACAATAGCATGCACACACAATGCTATTTTAAGGCCAGTTCCTAATTGCCGTGTCCCACTGGGCTATATTCTACTCCTCCTGGCCCTACATTATAATTACTAGTGGAACACCTTTGCGTTCTCTTGTTTTCTTTTCAGCCTCACGGGTTAAGAAAGTATACCTACCCTATCCACTTGCCAAAAAGAAAATTAGTTTGGAAAATCCTATTTAAACTCATCCACTGTGCTGTGTTTTCAGATACCTGTTTACTTGCTCAGTGACTTCATTTTACTGGAAATTGGATGTCTTATGTACCTTCTAGGGTATCCGAAATAACCTCTCCTTAGAAGAATAACAGAGCTGGAAAGGACCTTGGAGGTCTTCTAGTCCAACCCCTGCTCAGGCAGGAAGCCCTATAGCAGTGATGGCGAACCTTTTTGGCACCGAGTGCCGAAAAGGGAGCACGCACTCATCTGGGACGTCACCAGGAAGGGGAGCTGCCCAGGGAAATGGCCAGCAAGTCTTTCGGTTACTGCCGTGCATGTGCACACGCTGATCAGCTAGCCGGTACGCATGCTCACGCCAGAAAATGGAAGACCAGCTTTTCTGGTTTCCGGCAATGCCCCACGCACAAAGGCCAGCTGATCGTCATGTGCACATGCACGCCAGAAACCCAGAAGAGGAATAGGTGACGCCGGGCGTGCCAGGCGATATGGCTCCGTGTGCCACTTTGGGCACGCGTGCCATAGGTTCGCCATCACAGCCCTATAGCATTACAGACAAACAGTTGTCCAATCTGTTAAAAACTTCCAGTATTGGAGCACCCACAACTTATGGAGACAAGCATAACAGTAGCAGTTAATTTTCAATGGGTCTCTTATTTCCAATTACTAGAAAGTTTTAAAGAAGACAACAGAATTTATGGTTTTAAATATTGTAAGACTGAATTTGAAATAGAATTGCTTACAAATGATGAGCATGTAATTGTTAAAATGTATAAAAATTTATTGAACTTTGAAAGAAGAACAAGTGAAAGAATATGTGATAAAATGCTTTAAATTTTTGATTATAATATATAGATGGAACAATGGGACATATGAGGCTTAAAGGATTAAAATGTACATTATTTTAAGATAAAATGTTTATAAAAGGATATACCATTGGTATATGTCATTAGAGAAATTGTCTAGAATATATAAAGCCACTTCAAACATGTTGGAAATGTAAACAAAAAGGGACATTTAACCACGTTTGGTGGAAGTGTAAAAAGCTAGAAAATAGATTTGACTCGTGGTTTTTCCCCTGCCACACAAATTTAGATATATCCTTCTGCCACTGTTTAAATAGTACATCAGCTATCAAACATCAAACAGTTATTGTCTGAAACAAACAAAAAATAATAATTCTAGACAGGACATTCATTTTATCACAGAAATTCTCCCCAGCAATGACAATTGTGGTTTCTCCCATCTTAATATATCTTTTTTAAAATTTCATTTATTCTTGTCTTAACAGTTACGTGGAATAACATGCAGTTAGTATTTTTTTGTATATGATACCCAGATATTTTATCTTCTCAATCTTAAAACTCATTTTATTCATCAATTCTGTTTGACTTCTTAGTTTCATATTTTTGCTACTATTTTCATCTGTTTATTAGTCTTGACATCTGCTTATGGCCAAATTATTTGCCCATTAATATTTCAATTCCCTTTAAAAGATATTCTACAGACAGCACCAAGTCATAAGCAAAAGCAGTCTGTTTCTTAATTTTTATTCCCACATACCCAGTTCATTTACAAAGTCATTTTTGGCTTTACATAATTCAGTATTATTTGCAATTCTCTTACTAACATAAATAGTTGCCATTGTAAAAGCTTAATTTATTTATCCTCACTTATCTTCGTTGGGAAATTTCTTTAGTTCTTCTTTCCTCTATTTTATTCAAAATAGTTTGTGTTTTCTCTTGACTCTTCTTTTTAAGTTCACTATTATATTGCATAAAATAATGTCCAATAAAAGTTTACTTTACATCCTAAACTATTTTTAAATCAGTGGCTTTACTTATGTTATTTTCAAAAATGTATTTAAATTTATTTTTACAATATTCTACTATTGCTTCTTTCTGGGTTGAGATATCTCTTGCTGACCGCTACCCCGGTTGCAGTGCCTTCTTCTTGTCTCCCAAGGTTGTTCTCACAGCCCATTACAGGAAGTATAAAACTAATCAAGTATTCATTTCTACAAATATGGATGTACCACCTACTCTGTAGATTCCAGGTGCCTTAAAAACCTAACATATGAAGATGCCAAACAGCTGCCCCCCACTCCCCCGATACTGCCTAAGTAGGATTTTCCTGACCTTGCAGAGAGCTCATTTTTACTGCCCATCTGAAAATTAACACCTGGTGGGCAAGCAATTCTGGAGACAGAAGGTCACCCACTGCTCCTCACCTTCTACCTGAACCCTTGAGAATTGCAGGTGAGAACACCTGTTGGGTGGGCAGGTTCCACCTGAATCCAGTAGTTCCAAAGTTAATAGTAAATCGTTCATAACTATCCAGGATTGATTTTTCTTTGCCTGCAGCTGACTATATACCTGCTCCCAGCACCATGTACACTGTTCTTCCAGATTTTGTTCCTCCTGCAGAACTCTCCAAATTCTTCAGAAATATGGAACTGGGGACCAGAATTTCCAGATGTGTGAACAGCAAATGCAGTTCCAGGTTTGCAGATACAAAGTATGCATGCCAACATCCCATATACGCCAGTGGTATCTGAGACCACAGGCAGAGTTTGATCAGGAAAGGAACTGAGGAAGTGGGCTGTACTACTCAGTGAAAATACTGATGAACAACAGAAATTTCATTCTCGGGATTAAATAATAATAATAATAATAATAATAATAATAATAATAATAATAATAATATAATTTTATTTATATACCGCCCTTCTCCCGAAGGACTCGGGGCAGTGTACAGCCAAGATTAAAAACATAAATATACGATATCATAGTTAAAATTAATTAAAATCATTAAATAGTTTTGGCCAAATTTTAAAACCCAATATTAAAACCCAATTTAAAATCATTCAGTTAGACAGCCCCGCCTGTTGGAACAGTAGGGTCTTGAGGGCACAGTGAAAGACCTGGAGGTCAGAGATGTTACGAATATCCGGGGGCAATTCATTCCAAAGGGCAGGAGCTCCCTTTGATAGAGAGCTAACTGAAAATAAAATAATGTTGTGTATAATCTGAAATCATCCAATAAAGTGATCACTAAAAATATTAATGGAAGAAAACATCTGTGGCCTGGATGATGGCGCCTCTCCATGGGTTCTCAATGCCAGCAGGAAGGTGAAGTTGTGTTTCTGTTGCTCTTTTGACTTCCTCCAGCATTTGGTGGCTCCTCTGGCAGTAGATGGGCCTCAGCTCTGGCTCGCACAGCCCCTTTGTGCTCTTAGGGTGTTACTTATGGGGGGTACGTGACATGGACCACATAAGAAAAGTTCCAGTCCCTTCAGTGACCTTTTCCTGAGGGACCCATGTCACCTGATGGTCCTCGAGGCAACGATGGGCTCTCTGCACCACAACTATTCTGGATCTCCAGATGGAACAGGTTAGGAAAACCATACACTGGAAAACAGCTTTCTTTGGCGTCTTTAAACTGATGAAACTGACAGGAAAAGCAAAATAGCAAGAAAAAAGTCACAGTCTATCACTCTCTGCCTCCTCCCAGGTATTTGTAGTCAGGAACAGCTTCATTTTTAAAAAATGAATGAGAGAATTGTATTTTTTCACATTTACAGATAGAAAAACCTACAACACAGCATTGGCTGGAGCATTTGTGCTCTTCTTACTCACCAGTAACACCAGACCTCACCAGCACTTCCTTCTTCCGTGAGATTTGTGCCTCAGCTCCCACTGGAAACCAGCACACACCACACCTGATGTGATTACGGGTCTATCAAGGAGGATTTGTGGTTTCCAAAACTTCTGCCATTTGTTGCGTGTTGCCTAGATGAGCTCCAGGGTGGGTCCTGCGCTCCTACTCCAGTCCGGTGGCAGAACTTCACTCATCTACACTTTGTGTGTTGCGCTGGTTGCCCAAATGACCACAAGTGGGCAACCAGCTGCTTGGCAGGAGCCTGGCTCCCTAGAGATTAATTTAAACAGAGTGTAACTTGATGCTTATCAGCTGAAAAAAAGTACTGATGGATGGACGGACATTCTTGGTGACCTTCCCTGCCTTTGCTCTGAGAAGCCCCCAGCCAGGGGCCAGGAGCACCCACCGGAAAAGGCCTATCGTGGATCTCTGGCAAGCACTTGGGCCTTTTCAATGGCAGTTAGACCAGTTTCTAAAGGAGTCAAAGTTCAAGAAGTTCAGCAGAAATCTCAAGTGGCTCAAACTATTTGCTCTTTCCAAATTGCAGATTTTGGGCACTGCGCCACCAGGCCAGATGCCAGCCAGGTGGCTTGTGCAAGAGAGACAGGATCTTGTGCCCAAATGTGCCAAGAGGACTGGGTTTCCTCACCCAGTTCATGATTCAAACAAATCTGTTTGCCACCCAGTGAAACCATCTCCTCCCTTCTACTGACGTCCTTGGCAGTCCTTCCCTTTCTTTCTCTCTCTCTTTTCCTCTCCCTCCCTCTCCCTCCCTCTCCCTCTTCCTCCCCTTCTAGTGTACAGAGGTGTCCAGGGCCAAAAGGGAGAGCTGCCCTTTATTTACCACATCTCATGGACCCCCTGCTCCTGCTGGTGAGTTTTTCTAGACCCCAGGCTTGCTTTGCTGTGCCAAGGGTGTCTCCCTCTTTGTGGCGCTGCTTATGCCCCTGGTGGCATCTGTGGTGTCCAGGGAGCCCCTCAGATCCTCAAATGATTTCAGGAGAAGTTCAGAGCATGCCAGTTCCCTGACTTTGGTGGACCAGCAGATGCTGTGCCAGTTCCTTGTGAAGATCTAAATGAAATGGTCCTGGGGCATTCCCAGCTGGTAATTGGGCACTTGGAACCCTGCTCGGTGAAGGGGGACTGGCATAAGAAGGAAAACTTCCCATTGTGGATCCTCCTTCTTCCCTCATCTGCCCCTGGATTTTCCTAACCTCTGGAGACCCAGGATTCAGGAAGGAACTTCTTTTTCCATACCTGTCTCCTCCTGACACAGGAAATGGAGGGACAGTTGCGGGGCTGCTGGGGGGCCGCGAGGGAGGCTTGCTCTGGTGCCTAGGTACAGCCAGCCAAGAGACCTTGACTCCTGTGGGCAGTGCCTTTCTGGCAGCAGGGCATTTGTGGCAACCCTGCAAAGCCTCGTTTGATGCAGGCAATGTGGACCAAGGCTGAGGAAGTTTCTCTATTGCTAACTGCCCATTTCTTTGGTTTTTTTAAATTCAACTTTCCCTTTTCTTTGCTTGGATCCAGTCCACTTTTTCTGCTCAAATTGCAGAATCAGACACCAAGTGCTACCATTCTGATGTCAGATCTACAGGTGTCGCTTGGACGTGCCTGTTTTTAATCCAGACTACATGTTGGCTAGTTTCGGGGCCAGACAAGCACACCATCACATCTGCTAAAAAAAAATCCTGTTTCTTTGTTCATTTCCAAAAGTTGCATTTTTGCTTCCTGTATGCCTTTTAAACATCATCATAGCCCTTCTTTTCCTATTTTTCTTGAAAATTTACATTTAGAGAAGTTTCTATGTGTTCCAGAATTGGATCACATTTTGTGCATGTTGTATCAGTTCTTCATTCTAACCTAGAGTAATAGTACAATAAACATTTTCAAACATGCTCGATGCTAAATATTTGAAAATTCCAGTGTTCAAAATCTAAAATGTTCTCATCTATTTAGTTGTGGATTTGCAAACCGTTTCTGTCTTCCATGTTTCTTTATGGTTCAGAGATGAGACTTCTGTCTTCCATGTTCACAGCATTAAATTATCAGAGAAAAATGTGTGCTGTGCTGTATTTAGTTTAGGCATGTATTATTATTATTTTAATAGAGAATTTATAACCAAGCCTGATGTCAAGTTTCGAAGTGTGCTTTTGCAACCATTAGACCCCTCTGTCCTTTAAATCTGACTGCCATAAAAGAAGAAGCATCTTTAGTGCAATCAATGGCAAGTCAATAAGCCCCTTGCACCCATAAAATATTTGGAGCTGATTCACATGTTTGAATTAATTTCCCAGCCGGGGTTCTCATCTGGGCTGAACCTTGATCTAAGGTAGGGGCATAACTGTACAACCTACCAACTCAAAAAACTCTGGCTGTATGAGCACTGTGTCGACTGCTCTTTTTCAAATATGTGTCCAGTGTTAATCCCTTGCAACTACCAGTTTGCCACATACCCTATGCATCCCTTCCAAATGGGGGTTATTCCCTGGTGTGCATAGATTGCAGGTTACGAACACAATATGGATGTGACCAGATGTGCATCTTCTTTGACTTTAGGCTTTGTTTTCCAGTCTTTTCTAACTTGCAAAAAACTGCAATAGCTTCTCCACACAATGCAGAGAAACCTTAAATAGATTCTATAACAGGATCTATTAAAATTTCTACGTATTTCACTTGCACCATCCGCCTTCTCTTCACTCCCATCCAGTGCTATTTACTCTTCCAAAGCACAACAATAGTTGTGAAAATGCACAGAGGCCACACTTTTCGTTTTTCCAGAGAAAAATTCTCCTGTTGAATTGTAGAATTTCCTAAGTGACCTTATTCTCAGTTTTTCTGTATTAATATCCCTATGTTTTCTAACCAGGAAAGAAACTATGATTTGCCAAAAGGATAGCAGGATTCATAAAAATTGCTAAAGCAGATTAATAGGTAAAGAAATTGTGCCTAGGGACAAATTGCTCAGTAGGAAGTTGTTGATAAATTACAGAATTGCAGAATACCCGAGTTGGAAAGGACCTGGGAGGCCTTCTAGTCCACCCTCCTGCTCAATACCTACCTTAGTCAAAATGATAGAAAGGGAGCACTTATTCTGCCCACTAACTTCCCTTCCGGTCCATCAGCCCTGCCTAGCAACATTCAGGAACAGTTTTTGTAAAGAATGTAGATCACAATTCTTCTGTGCGTAGATGGGAAGGATTCCTTCTACTGTACTGCAAAAGTAGAAGGTGAAAGGCCAGAGCTTCCAGGCATGGCAATGCAGGCACGCAGAAGGGCTGAATAGAGTTTGGCATGCAGAGGGTGGGACAAGAAGCAATTTTTCACCGATGTTCGAGATTGCCCCCTCCCCCAATCCCTGCAGGCAGGGGGTCCCTGGGGGGGGAGGCGTCAAAAATGTCAACAGGTGGCTGAGATGGTGAGTTCCGCTTGTTTCTTATCTGCATTGACAAATACTGAATTTATTTATTTGTTACTGCCTTTTATATACCCTCAATTTTTAACGGTCCCCATCACATATCTGTGCCTTTGATGCATTTCCTATGTAAATAACTTTACGTTAAAAAGAAAAGATAAACTTAATTCTCTTCTTCTTTGGGCCCCCTCTGACTGCCTGTCTGTAGCCCCCTCCCCTCTCCCCAGGTCTTCCTTTCCTCCCTTTTTGAAGATAGGGCAGCCTTTGCAACCCTGATATGGGTAGTCCTTGACTTATGACCACAATTTAGCCCCAAATTTCTGTTGTTAAGCGAAACAGCTGTTAAGTGAGCTTTGCTCCATTTTATGACCTTTCTTGCCACATTTGTTAAGTGAATCACTGCGGTTGATACGTTAGTTACACAGTTGTTAAATGAATCTGGCTTCCCCACGGACTTTGCTTGCTAGAAGGTGGCAAAAGGGAAACCTGTGAGCCCCCGAAATACATGCCGGTTGCCAAGTGTCTGAATTTTGATTGGTGACCGTAGGAATGCTGCCATGGTCATAAGGGGGAAAAACAATCATAAGCCGCTTTTTTTCAGTGCCGCTGTAATTTCAAACTGTCACTAAATGAATGATTGTAGATAGATAGATGGATGGATGGACGGACGGACGGACAGAAATAGAAATAATAGAAATAGAAATAGAAATAGAAATAGAAATAGAAATAGAATAACAAGAGTTGGAAGGGACCTTGGAGGTCTTCTAATCCAACCCCCTGTCTAGGCAGGAAACCCTACACCACTTCAGACAAAGGGTTATCCAACATCTTCTTAAAAATTTCCAGTGTTGGAGCTTTCACAACTTCTGCAGGCAAGTTGTTCCACTGATTCATTGTTCTAACTGTCAGGAAATTTCTCCTTGGTTCTAAGTTGCTTCTCTCCTTGATTAGATTCCATCTATTGCTTCTTGTCCTGCCTTCAGGTGCTTTGGAGAATAGCTTCACTCCCTCTTCTTTGTGGCAGCCCCTGAGATATTGGAACACTGTTACAATGCCGTCCTTAATCCTTCTTTTCGTTAAACTAGACATACCCAGTTCCTGCAACCGTTCTTCATATATTTTAGCCTCCAATCCCCTCATCATCTTTGTTGCTCTTCTCTGCACTACTTTACTTTACTTTACTTTTATTTAATTTATATACCGCCCTACTCCCGAAGGACTCAGGGCGGTGAACAGCCAACAATAAAATACATACATACAAAATTTAAAAAGCAGAGATAAAATCGAATTAAATAGTTTGGCCCAGACAAATTTAAAACCCCAATCAATTTAAAACAATTTAAACTTTGAATATTAAAAATACTAAAAAGTATTTAAAAATATTAAGAACGTTTAAAAAGAGGGAGAAAGTTAGGCCAGGCCCGCCTGGTGAAATAAAAAGGTCTTTAGAGCGCGGCGGAAGGTGCGCATATCCGGGATCCTCCGTATCTCCGGGGGGAGCTCGTTCCAGATAGTAGGTGCCCCCACAGAGAAGGCTCTCCCCCTGGGGGCCGCCAGTCGACATTGTCGACATTGCACTAGATAGATAGATAGATAAGAGAGAGACAGAGGAGGAGAGAGAGGATAAATAGTAGAATAACTTTGTCACTTTCAATGTACACTAATTGGCATACATTAAAGTGAAATTTCATCGCACAAAGTTCTCAAAGGGTCTCCACCTCCAATATAGACTACATAAACATGACAAAATAAATAAATACAAAATTATGCATATAACCACATATATTATGTGACACAGAGAAACAACACAGTCTAGTCTGGATGTATAAAGTACATGGCGAGAGAAACGAATCTTGGGAGTTTACCAGAGGGATGGCCTAGGGAACAAAATCTGGTCGTCCTGCCAGAAATACTTTGAAACCTCTTCCCAGAGGGGAGCAACAGAAACAGACCGTGAAGTGGGGGGTGGGGGGGTCTCTGTAAATCAAGGACTACCTGTACTTAATTCATTCTCAGAAATGGTAAAGAAAGGTTTGGGTGGGCTTTCAGGAATGCAATGGGACAACTCATCGCGAGACAATTCAACAAATACAAAAGTTATATTAATTTTGAAATAAATTAATAAATAAAATAAAGGAAGTCAATCCAGAAATACAAGATTTATAATAATTTTGATGAAAACATAGTCATCGATAATAAAAGTAACTGAATGAAATGATTAATACAGCATTGAATTGTCCCCCAACAATTTGTTCTGTGGCAAGTTGTCTCAGACCCAGGAACAAATAGGAGATCCAGCATTTTCTTTGTTACATGCTAAGCCTTTTGCCACCTTCCCGGAAAAGCTGGTATATTCATTTCTTTGTTGTCTTAAAATGTTTGCTAATCTCTTCTGCAGCCACCTTGACTAGCATTATTCTTCATTTTGTTTTCTCTTTGGAATTATTTGTGATTGTGT